CCGGATCACCCAGCGGCACTCGGCGTTGTTGGGGTAGGTGTTGGGGTACTCGGGGCTGGTGAGGACCCCCGACAGGCCCGTCAGGACGCCACCACACACATCTGTAAGCGAGCCCGGTTGAACCAACCTTTCTCCTTCCCCGTGGATCCCCTCCCAAGGGCACCCACACCCCCAACATGCCACTCCCACAGGCCTGGGCGCCTGGTCGCCATCCACCGAGCACTTGCCGAGTGGCAGGCACAGGCCGGGGCTTAGCGCCCGCACCACCTTTGTAAACGTTACCGTCACCCTGTGGGGGGTGTGCGGGGGTTCGGGTTAGTTTCCCACCTTACAGTCGAGAAGATGGAGCCCCAGGAAGTTTGGGTTCACCTGGGCTCTGAGACAGGATTTGAGCAGTGAGTTTCTGTGGGAGACACGGGGTCCCTGTGTGGGGAGTGAGGGAGTGAGGGGCACTGAAGGGAAGGGGAGGGGAGGCGGCCACTGAAGGGCCTTGCCAAGCCAGCTGCGGAGCCCCGTGGGGAACTCTGGGGGCCGTGCAAAGCACACACCTCAGAGTGGTGTCACCTAAGAGTAGGGAAGTGGGGCGTTCACACACCGACTCTCGGGATCCAGGCCGAGGGCTGCTGGGGTAGAGGTGACCAGCGGAGCTTCACAAAAAGCCCTCAAGCAAAGAGAAGAGGAGGTTGGCAGGAGTCGTTCTGGCAAGGCCCCAGGGACATGGGCAGGGCCCTGGCAGCAGGTCACCGGTCTGGTAACGTGGAAAACGGGTTGACTAACTGCAGAGCCTGTGCAGGTGACCTTATGATGTTCACTGTCCCCTCCTGCCAGGCCAGTAGGGTCCAGAGGCTGAGATGCCTGAGTTCAGAAATGTTCTTAAACCTCCCTAGCAGGTGAGGAAACTGAGGCTTAGAGAGAGGATCTGATGAAGCAGAGATAAGGCTTGAAGTCTGAAGACAGGTGTCCTCCCAACTCTGCCTCAGATTAGCTGTGTGACCCTGGGCAAGTCACTCAGCCTCTCTGAGCCTCATGGGAATATTGGAAATCATAAGACCTGCCCAGCCTGATCTACTGGCCTCAGATTCATGCCCAGCCTGAGAAGATGTACTGTGACCAATACAACCAGGAGGTGGTTGGTGACGAATGCTGGGACTAGCTGGGGGGCCCCAGCTGGGAGGGGCACCCTCGGATGTATTTCCTGGGACTCCAGAATCTCTCCCCAGGGCTGTGTGGACCGAGTACCATGCTGGGCAGCTAAGGACTTCACTTCGGAGCTGTGTGACCTTGGGAAGGCACCGTCTCTCTCTGGTCTCAGATGTATTGTTTGTGAAATGAGAGGACAGGTTTGACAATCTGTGAGAGCCCTTCCAAGGCTAACACCCTAGTAGACTCTTTGAACTTGTGCTCCGGGCTCCCCGGTGGCCGTCTGGAGCAGCCATCACAGGCAGCTGGTGCGAATTTCATTCTTATGCTGCATTCAAATCATGTTTTAATGCTGCGAAAGGCAGAGTCCACAGTTACGTCTTAGATGTAAAAATTTAACTCATTGGAGGCCACAAATGCTGACTTACGCCTTCAATGATTGGCTTATAATAAGCAAATGTTAAAAATATGAGCTTACAAAATAAATGCACACCCTAAAATGCCGCCTTTATCTCTCATATATCAGGGATTAACATAAGATTCCATTTGATAAAAGGATACTGCTGTTTTAAAAAAGGTTGGAACACACTGCCCGTGGTATTATGACTTGGATAGCTAAACATTCTAAAAATCTAAGGGTCCAAGGTTCCAAAACTGCTATTAAATCAGTCTGTGATTCTTGTGTTTTAGCAGCTACAATTCTCTGCCTCTAAAGCCAGAGAGAACTGGGGCGCACCTGAGCCCCCCACCCCCACTGCTGTTGGCGGACTGTGTGCCAGGAGCCTCGGGTGGCCTAGCGTCCCCGTCCCATGGAGAGGGCGTGGCTTTGGCCTTGGGCGGAGGCAGGGGGTGAGTTTGTGCAGAGGAGCCTGGGGCAGGGCGATGAGTCAGGGAGAGAGGCCAGGAGAGCCAGGCCTCTGCCCCCTCAGGGACTGCGGGGCTGCTGCCCGCCTGGTGGAAGGGGGAGGGGGGACCCCAGACCGAAGAGGCGAGTTGGGAAAAGCTCTGGGTGGGAGAGCCACCAGGTCCACAAGACCCTGTGCCCCTCCTGGAGGACCTCGGGGGTGGGTGGGGCATGTGCTCGTGAAGTAAAGGGGTGCCACAGAGGGGCCGCAGCAGTGATAGCATGGCGCCCTCCTGTGCCCGGATGCCAGGGCAGGGAGAAGAAGGACAAGAACGGAAGAGCACGCGAGGCCTCGTTCCTGAACACAGTGTGGCCTCCAGGCTCCCAGGAACAACGGAGGGAGGCCCGGGGATGGCCGCCATGAAGATGGGAGCCCGCAATCCCGAGACTGCAAGCGGAGGCTGCCTTTGCCCCTGAGCTACGAGAGCAGGGTCATCCGGGTTCCGGAGCAGCCTACTCCCCAAGATGCTGCGCCCCTGCAAGTCTCCCCGCACCTCCGCCCCAGGCCTCCCTCTGCACTGCGAGGCCCCTTGCCTTTCTGGTAGCCTGCGGAGAAGCCGCGGCTGGCCACGTGCTTGTCGGAGTGGAAGACGACAGACATGATATGCCAGGAGGAGGTGAAGGGTGGCGGGGGCACCTGGCCGCAGAACCTCCCCAGCAGGTTGCCCTGGTCCCCCGCAGCCCCGTTGTAGATCTCCAGGAAGTCGAAGCCGCAGGCGTCGTGGTATTCCAGGTCAAAGGCGTGGAAGGTGAGAAGGACCGAGGAGCCCTCGGCCACCACGATCAGCCAGCTGCACTCCGTGTTGTAGGGGTAGAGTCCGGGGAAGTTGGGGCTGGAGAAGTTTCCAGAAGGTGCTGAGAGCACCCCCCCACATTTGACACCTGGGGCAAGAGGGAGAATGGCTCAGAGTCAGCACTGGGGTCTCGGGTGTGGGCCCAGCTGCAAAGCTGGGTTATTGGGGTGGGAATTTTCATGCACTGGGCCTCTAGTTATGTACATATTTGCTTATAGTTTTAAAAAGAAAACAATGGAAGGAAATGAATTATTCTCTGTCGGGGGAAGGAGGAAACAGGCATGACTGCTGGAACCCTTTACATGCAAGTTGTTCTATCATTTTGACTATATAATTATGAATAATGTTCATATAATTTTTAAATTACAAAAAGTATTTAAGTAACCCTTAAATATCCCACACTGAAAAACTTAACTATATATCTAGTTGAAGGCACATTCACGTGGAGAAAAATGATTTCCACATGACTTTGAAAGACTATTTTGACTGTGCATTCCTGGTGGAATAGATCCAAGAACAAAACCACAAAGAAATCATAAAGTATACTCAGCAGACTGACTATTAGTGATAATAGTAAATACTGTCACTGTATTTATATATTGAAATAGAGCAAGTAGGCTGGTGTCAATAGCAACGAATTGTAACAGAAGAGTGATACAAATACAAAGATTAAGGAAAACCCTGTGATCCTTAATTTGAATTGAAAACATAAGTATGAATTTAAGATTTTTAAATTTCTTTTTAGATTTTTTTATTTCTAAAAAAATCATTTTCGAGTTCTGTTCACTAAAAAGGCCTAAAAGAAACAATGTTACAGTAATATTTTGCACCCTCTGCCATAGATTAGGGTTATTATGTCCAACTAGAATGAACCAGGGCTCCTTAGAGAACCAGTGGGTCCAGAACAGGAAATATACAAACTACACTCGGGACATCTTGTCACACCAGAAAGCAAAGAAGCTTCCAAAGGCTGCTGGGAACGTGTCAAAGACGCCCACCTGCAGGGCTCCACTGGCCGGACAGGGTACAATTTGAGCATCACAAGAGAATAATGATTGCAATGGATTGAAACACATTAAATACATAAACATTCATGAATTCATAATACAACTCTAAAGAAAAAAAAAAGAAACTCACTGATTTCCTTTAGTGGTTGCTGGGGCATAAACTCATTTTTTTTGGAAAATTAATATTTAGAGAAAGAATTAAGCATCTACTTTGCCCTTCCTGTTGTGGACTGTATTTTGGGATCACCAAATAGCCAATGAAGGGACACTGTTATTTATAGTTGACTGCAGAAAGAATAACCACGTTAGGAAAATATAATTTTGTAAACCTTAATGAAATAATCATCTTCGATGTCTGTTCTAATCCCTGAGTAAAAAGGTAAATGAGGTTGGGTAAATAGGTATTCCCTGTAAAATTCTTTCAACTTTGCTATATATTTGAAAATTTTTATCACTAAAAAAAAATGCCCAAAAAAGTCACTTTTATAGGCAATAAGATGAAAAGGCAACCTATGGAATCAGTGAAAATATTTGTAAATCATACATGTGATAAGGGTTGAATATCCAAAATATATAAAGAATGCATACAACCCAATAGCAAAAACAAACGAAACAAAACACATCGTCGGATTTTAAAAATAGGCAGAGAAACTGAACAGACATTTTCCAAAGAAGACATACAAAGGGCAACAGGTACATGGACAGGTGCTCCACACCACAAACCTTCAGGGAAGTGCAAATCAAAACCACAACGAGATATCACCTCACACCCATCAAAATGGACATAATCAAAAGGATAAGAGATAACAAGGGACGGCGAGGATGTGGCGAGAAGGGAACCCTGTGCACTGTGGTTGGGAATGTAAAACGGTGCAGCCATCATGGAAACATACGGAGGTTCCTCAAAAAGTTAACATTCGAACGACCATATGATCCAGCAGTCCCACTTCTGGGTATATGTCCAAAGGAAATAAAAACAGGATATTGAAGAGTTATCTGCACTCCTATATTCATGGCAGCATTTATAATAACCAAGATATGGAAACACTGTAAGTGCCCATCAATAGATGAATGGATAAAGAAGATGTTTTTTTTATATATATATATGTGTATATATATATATATATAATAGAACTAAAAGAAGGCCATTTTAGCCTGGCCCATGTGGCACAGTGGTTGAGCGTTGACCTGTGAACCAGGAAGTCACGGTTTGATACCTGGTCAGGGCACATGTCCAGTATGGGGCATGCAGGCAGCAGCCGATCAATGATTCTCTCTCATCATTAATGTTTCTATTTTTCTCTCCTCTCTTCCTCTCTGAAATCAATATTTAAAAAAAATAAAAAGAAGTCCATTCTTTCATTTGCGACATGGATGGACCTTGAAGACAGTCTACTAAATTTAATAAGACAGAGAAAGACAAATACTGCATATCACTTACATGTGGAATCTAAAAAAAAAATAAGTCAGCCCTAGCCGATTTGGCTCAGTGAATAGAGCGTCAGCCTGCAGACTGAAGGGTCCCAGGTTCGATTCCGGCCAAGGGCACATGCCCAGGTTGCAGGCTTGATCCCCAGTAGGGGGCATGCAGGAGGCAGCCAATCAATGATTCTCTCTCATCATTGATCTTTCTATCTCTTTCTCTCTTTCCCTTCCTCTCTGAAATCAATAAAAATATATTTTTAAAAAATAATTTTTTTTTAAAAAGTCAATCCTGGGGGAAAGATCAGCATATATATCTTTCTCTGTTAAGATATATTCTGAGATACTTATGGTAAAATAATATATCTGAGATTGGCCTTAAATTTGTCCAGATCCCCGCCCCCCACACACAAAAAAAATGGAGGTGGGGTAGGATAGAAGAAACAAGACAGGCAGAATGTTGGTAATTGTTGAAGATGGTTGTTGGAGACATGGAGATGCATTGTGTTATTTTCTCTACTTTGTGTATGTTTGAAAGTTTTTGTAATTAAAGGTAAAAAAAATAACCAACACATTTTTGGTCACCTTCTCAGTGAGGCTTTCCCCAACAATGTAACCCTCCCATCCCTATAGTCTTTCTCTGCCTTTTCTGCTACATTTTTCTCCATAGCACTCACCACCATCCAATGCACACTGCATATTTGACTTGTTTGGTTCATGGCTAGTCTCTCTCCACAAAAAGGTAAGCTCTCTGAGAGCAGGAATTTTTTGTGTTTTGTTCTCTGCTGTATCCCAAGCACCTAGAATAGTACCTGGTATAAAGCAGGTGCTCAATACATATTTGCTGAAAGAATGAGTGAATGATCTTATAGCATCCTCACAATAGCCCCATAAAATAGACAAAGCAGGTGTTATTGACTCCATTTTACAGATGGAAAAACTGAGGCCCAGAAAGGGAAGTTATTTGCTGTAGTTGTCATCTATTGTTTTGGTTTGCCCAAAGTCCATTTCTCCATCTCTTGCAGCAACACTCCTCCTCTTTTAGACACTGGCTCCCCTGCCTCCATGTGGTAACACCCCTGCCATAGGGGTTGACACATGAGCCAGCTGGGCAATCCTGGGGCTCCCACCACCACCCAGTGACTGGCTGCAAGGTACCTGTGGTCTAGGTCAAGCCAGAGTCCTGCTGCAAAACAGCTGGAGGAGAACCCTGTCCTCCCTGGCCCCTGGGCTGGGAGTGAGAGCCCTGGGCGGGCCCATGCTCGGGGCCCATGAGAAAGCTTGTCAGCAGATGGCAAGAACCATGTGAAAAGTGGAAATGACCTTGAAGCCAAGATGTCCTGGCTGAAGGCATCCCTGGGTCCAGCTAAGTTACACTCCTGCCTCCCTCATTACAGAGCCAATACATTCCTCTTTTTGCTTCAAATCATTCAGGTTGGGTTTGTCACTTGCAATCAAAAGCTTCGTGAATAAAACCATTAAGCCCAGCCAGTGTGGCTCAGTTGGATGAGCATCGGTCCCATGCACCAAGAGGTCACCAGTTCGATTCCCAGTCAGGGCACATGCCTGGGTTGCGGGCTCAATCCCTGGTAGGGGGTGTGCAGGAGGCAGCCGATCAGTGTAAGATGTTTCTCTTTCCCTCTCCCTTCCTCTCTCTCAAATCAATAAGATATATATATATTTTTTTAATAAAAAGGAATACCCTTGCCATAACCGGTTTGGCTCAGTGGATAGAGCGTCGGCCTGCGGACTGAAGGGTCCCAGGTTCGATTCCGGTCAAGGGCATGTACTGTGGTTGCGGGCACATCCCCAGTGGGGGGTGTGCAGGAGGCAGCTGATCGATGTTTCTCTCTCATCGATGTTTCTGACTCTCTGTTCCTCTCCCTTCCTCTCTGTAAAAAATCAATAAAATACATTAAAAAATTAAAAAAAAAAAAGGAATACCCTTAAGCAAAGTTCCTGTAAGAGAAGAGATACTCACGGAGCATGTGCCCTGTCCCAGGACTGTGCTGATTCAGAATGGGCCCCTCCCTGGGAGCTCACAGTGGGGAGGTGGGGGATGGGAGAGGGGACAGCCAGGCAAATGAGACAAAGTCCTGCAGTGTGATTGTGTCTGGCCACACAGGGGCCCTGGGGTCCAGGGGCAGGGAGGCCAGCCTTGCTGGGGCCAGCACTATTAGAGGAGGGACAAGATTCACAGAGGAGGTGGTATTTGAGTTTGACTAGGAAAAACAAGAAGGTATGTTTGTTGGGAAGACTTGGAGAGAGGGAATGGCATGAGCAAAGGCTCAGACCCACCATCACTTCTGAGCCTCAGTCATGCGTCTGTGAAATGGGGAGAACGACACCTCCCTTGCTGGGTAGTTGCGAGCAGTGATGGCATAAAGCCATGCAGGCCTGCAAGATGTACACCAGCTCACATCACCGGCTCCCTGCCTGGCCGCGGGGTCAGGCCAGGGCGGGAACGGTGTCTGCTTCCTGCCTTTATGGCCGGGGGGTGGGGGGGGGGGGTGGGGGGGAGGAGACAGAGGGAGTCTGTCCAGTAGCTGTCCTTGTCCCTCCCCAGCCAGCCCACAGGACAGGGAAAGCCGTGACAGAATCGAAACAGGACTTCTATGGGCCAAGAGGGCTGGCACCACCACGAGTGAAGGCTTTGTCTTCCAGGACTCAGCCAGGCACCCTGACCCACAAGGGCACCCAAGGGCACCAAAGCCTGGGTACTGGAAAATGGGGACCGCTAGTTGCTCCCCCTACCCAGGCATGAAGTGAGACACCTGGTGCCCAGCCCATCTGTGCCACCAACTGGGTGACTGGAAAGTTATGCTTCCTTCCTGAGTCCCCTCACCCCATCCCACCCCACCCCACCCCTGCGAGCCTGCAGGAAAATGAGGCTCCAACGGTGGTTTGCTGAGCCCCAACTGCATGCATACCCCTCGACGGTGAAACGGTATCACCTTCCCCCCCCCAGACACCCACACAGCACTGGAAGGGCTACGGCAGTGCAAAGTGGCCTGGGACCGGCGTGCTGGCAGAGGGCCTGGAGCTCGAAGGAGGGAGCATCTGAGGATGATGCAGGGACCTGGAAGGGGTCCTGGAGGAGGTGGTGTTGGACCTGCGTCTGATGGATGAGCCAGATGTTCTAAGGGGCCCTCCAGGCAGAGGAGCCGAGGGTGAGAGCCATGAGGGTGCAGCATCTCTGGAAGGGGGTGTGACCCCGGGGACGCAGGCACTGAGGCTGGAAATTACACGGAAACCGGAGCCAGGCTGCAGGGAGCTGAACGCCCGCCGTAAGGAACTTTGATTTCAGTTGGTCGGCAGGGGAAGGACAGGCTCTGAGGGGCGAATGAAGACTCCTTCCAGCAACAAACCTGCACTCGTTCTCCGAGCCATTCCCTTTGCCCTGGCAGCCATGCAGCCGTGGACAGCTTACCTAACCTCTCACCCTCAGGTTTTTCATCTGTAAAATGGGGGACCAATACCCACCTTGAAGTCTGTTGTGAAGTTTAAATGCAATCATAAACGTAAAGCATCCAGCACATAGCAGGCACCCAGTCAATTCTCTCTTCCCCCATCTCAGAAGCTGATACATCCCCAACTCAGCCACCTTCCCAAAGGGTCCTCCTGCTTTCTGGTCCCCCATCTAGAAACCTCCCGGGACCCCCGCTGCTGCCTGCCCACTCCTCTCCCCTCCTCCCCATTCCTGCCTGTCGCCAGGAGCTCCTACCTTTCATGGCTCGGGCCCTGGGGCCGGGGCCCAGCAGAGCCACTGCCAGCAGCAGACAGGACCCCAGCTCTGCCAGCATCTCCCCACCTGGGACCCTCACAAGTCTGCAGGCCGGGCAGGCCAGGAGCAGAGGGTCTGGAGCAGGGGAAAGTGAGGTGAGACTGAAAGGGCCTTCAAGTTAATGGGGGTGTGAATAATTCATCGGTGCCTCGAATTAGTAACCTGATCCCCGGGTGCTTCCTTCACTCCACCCTGAGGTGACGGATCTGGTGTCGCCCGGTTTACACGTTCTGAGATCTGCACTGGCCACCTGCATGGGGAAGGGAAGCCAGCTGGGGCTGGAAGGGAATTTGGGGGTGGAGAAAGGGCATGAGGCTGGGGCTAGACAGACTCCTATCCATCCCAGAACAGCCTCTAACTTGCTGGGTGACCTGGAACAAATCATCTAATTCCTCTAGGCCTCAGTCTTACTCATCTGTCCAGTGGGACCATTCAGCCCGGCCAATAGGGTTGCTGTGGAAATGAAAGTGACAACGTAAGTGGAAGCACATATTGGGTGCTTGCTACAGGTTTTTCCTATCTCCCATTCACGGGGGACCTGAGGGCATCTCTAATTAGTGGGACAACGGGACAAGCGCCCTTCAGACACGCTTAGATTAGCTCAGAGGGAGAGCGGAGGAGGTGGTAGCGGGCAGCTGATGAGGGAAAAGTCTTCGAGGAAGAACGCAGCGGGAAGCACACACGGGATAATCACATTGTGCAGTCCCTAACGCCATCAGGGCCACAGTGTAAATTCTGGCCAAGAATATTAAGTGTTCACTCCTTTATTGATCCACAGGCCTGGCCTGAACATCGTATGTGCCAGACCCTGTGCTCGGAGCTCGGCTGCAGAAATGCCCTCCACGGCTCGGTGTCTATTTCCTCCAGGAGCCCTATTTGGTTCCGTCCAGCCCAACACGCATTTCCTAAGCTCAGAGCCTGCACCAGGCACGGGGCATCGGGGTAAAGGGGGCACATTCCCACCTCCCAGTGAGGAGCCTGGGCTCCGGTCAGACAGACAAGGTCTGAGTGCTGGCTCTCCCACCCTCTGCCAGGCGGTGGGAGCGGGAAGTCACCTGACCTCCCCAGGCCCGGCCTCCGACTGTGCAGCAGGAGGAAGCAGTGGCCTGCAGGCTGCTGGGAGCCTTCGATGAGACCGTGTGTGGGAAGTCTTCGCCTGTGCCTGGCTCCGTGCTCAGGAGCGAGTATGATTTTTATTCCTCAGAGGAACTCAGATGTCCATCTGCCAGACCGCATGCTGCCCCTGGCCTGTCCTTTGCCAGGAGGCCCCCAGGGAGCCCAGCGTGGGCGGCCACCTGGAAGGTGCTCAGCAAAGAGCCTCGGGAAGAGCCAGGCCTGAGGGATCGCTTACCTGTGGGCTTGATTGGCAGGTGGAAAGGTTCAGGGTGAGAGGCCAGTTCAGGGTGTTAATGCGCAGCTTGCCATTCATTGCGGGCAAACGAGACTCGGCCCCCACGGGCTCCTCCAGAGACAGTGTAGGCTACGCCCCCAAGTTGTTCCACTGAGGGCGACAAAGTGGAGTGTTTGTCCCCCAGCTGCCACTGTCCCTGGGTGAGGCTGCCGCGGGCATCACCCTGGCATTTCCCACCTGCCTGGGAATGGGGTGGTGGTCCAGCAGTGGCAGGCACAGCTGGGAATGGGGTGGTGGTCCAGTGGCAGGCACAGCTGTCTGCCTGCCTGGGAATGTGAATGTCACAGGATGCGGGCAGGGCCGTGACAGCATCCACTGAGCCATCCGCTGCTGTCTCTGGAATCGCTCACCTCTGAAATGTTCGTTCCACCCCCGGGACAACCACCTCTCTTCCCGCACCCTCGTGCAAACTCCCCACACTGCTTCCTTCCCGGCTGCAGGGGCTGCCTGACGCCTCCCTCTTCCACAAAGGTCTGTGTGGTGGAAAGGGGTGAGGCAGAGGACAGGGAGGCTGCCATCCTGGGGGTTCTGGTTGGGCCCCAAGGCGCCACATCTCTCCACTAACTAGAGCCCTGGGGACTGGGGGAGCTTCCCTTGAGTGTGGTCCTGGTGGCAGAGGCCAGAAGGAGGGAGCACCCTCCTCCCCTTTATACAACTTTGCAAGGTGAGAATGACCAGCTCTAGTTCACTGTTTGGTAATCAGGGCTCAGAGAGAATTGCTTTTACTAGCTCATTTATCAACAGGTATTTATTTATTGAGCACCTACTATGTGCCAGGCCAATGCTTGCTACTTGTGCACATTATCCCACTTAACCCTCACAGCTCAGTGAGGGGTGTTAGTGTCCCCTAACATTTCTAAATACCCCCTGGGGGCAGTGCTACCCTTGTTGAGACTCCTGGCTGTTTACTCTCTGTCTCCCCACCAGCACGTGAGCAGCCAAAGAGCAAAAATCTGTATTTTATCACTGCTGTATTTCAGCCCATGGCGCAGACTAAGTGCTCAGTAAATATCTGCTGAGAGTTGGAATAAAAGTATCCCTAGCCCTAGCAGGTTTTGCTCAGTGGCTAGAGCGTCAGCCTGTGGACTGAAGGGTCCCAGGTTTGATTCCGGTCAAGGGCACATGCCTGGGTTGCAGGCTCAATCCCCATAGGGGGCCTGCAGGAAGCAGCCAATCAATGATTTTTTCTCATTGATGTTTCTCTCTCTCCCTTTCCTTTCCTCTCTGAAATCAATTAAAATTAAATAAAAAAGGATTCCTCGTTTACAAGTGGGGAAACTGAAGTTCAGAGAGAGGAATGATTCACCCAAGCCCCACAGCTGCTTAGTGGCAGCACTGAAACATGTTTACATCTGACCACTCAAAACCCCTGTTCTCACCACAACACTGGCTTTTCCCGCATGGAGGCCCTTCAGCTCGGTGCAGACTCGGGGAGAGGGTGGCAGATGCCTGGAATGGCGGACCTGGGGCCAAGACCCCTGGAGCCTTACTCATTGAGAGCCCTGGTCCCTCCGGCCTCCGACTTGCCCCCCAGGCCACTGGCAATTCTGTCAGGAAAGCGGCACATCAGTTACCCCATCAAGAAGGGGGGCCAGCCAAGCTTCAAAAAGTCCAGACACGGAAACTGCCATGCTCAGCCTCTGGGGCGTCCTGGCTGCACGCAGGCTCACGCGGGAGCTCAAAGTGAGAGAGGGCTCACTGTGGAGGAGGGCCGAGAAGCCCGAGGACGGTGGGCCAGGGCCTGGGACCATCACAGCTGGAGGGGATATCAGAGAGCAAAACCGACCCCCTTCTTACTACCTATTCTCAGGGACCCAGAGATGGCAGGAGGGACACAGAGCCCCACATCCCCCGAGTGTCCACTAGGAGCAGGCAGTGCCGGGCTCTCTCCCACGTGTGATAACAGCACCTGTGTGCCCGGGAGACCGTGGGCACCTCCGCAGTCAGGGTCTGCGAGAGCCAGCAGGAAGCCTGCACAGAGGAGTTCTGAAATGTGGCCGAGCACCCGAGTGAAGGGGTTATTTAGCCGGTCCTCAGGATAAGCTGGGGAGGTAGGAACTATTACGATATCGAGGGAACAGGCTCAGAAAGGAGGGATCGACAACAGCTTCAACTGCTGCCCAAAGTGATCTCTGGGCGCCAGGAACCCAATTGCGAGCACGTGGGGGCGGGGACAGGTGGCCGTGGGTGGAGGAGTGAAGGGGGTGAGAAAGTTGCAGGCAGCTCTTCAAGGAGGGCTGAAAACATGAGACAGACAGACAGAGACAGACTGAGAGCGTGCCTTCTGCTCTGGAATAGCACGGTAGCAGGGCGAGCGTGGCTGTGCTCTGTTGAGTTGACACGGGGAACCTTGGAGGCTTCGGGCTGGCTGATGGAGCGGCGGAGACATGCGGAGAGTCCCGGGGCCCTTTATCTGGAGGCTCAGGGGCAGCTCCCTGAAGGTGGCCATTGAGCTGGGCACGAAGGTCCGCTTCTTGGTAAGACCCCTGCTGCGCTTAGAGGGGTCAGAGGAAGAAAATGAACACCCACAGAGACCCCATGGTGGGCCAAGCACAGCGCCAGGCACTTCACTTCCACACTCTCCTGTGGTCCTCAAAGCAGTCGCTAACCCGCGGCCTGTGTCTTCCACCAGGTCATTCATTCATGCTGCCTCCACATTCACTGGCCAGACGCTGCTCTGGGTGGTGGTGGTGGGGGGGGGGTGCCACGGGGCCCTGCCTCACGCAAGAACACCGTCCCCCACCACCTCTCGAGCCTTCGCTTCTCTGCCTGCAAAATGGGGACGCTGCTGCTCGCTGCAGATTGTGGGAATTGAGTGCGATGGCCTAGCGGACACTGTTCATGTGCCGCCTGGCACCCTGCTCACCTGGCCCGGCAGAACCTGCCGGAAGTTCCGAGTGCACCCGGCTTCCTGTGACTCTGTCCGTGGGCTTCGCTGGCTGCCAGGCACTGAGCCGCTGGGAGGCCACCGCCGCCGCGGGAGCTGGTGCGCTGGCGCGAGCCTCGGCCCGGAGGGATGATGGACATTGCCGGGTAAATGCCCCTTGGCGGGGCGAGTCTGAGGGGCACGCACAGGACCCCCAGCAGTGAGCTCGGCTGCCCTGGGTCACCTGCCCATCAGCACAACCTTCGTTGGGCTCCCTGCCCCCCACGCTTTCCTGCTTTCCCTGAATCACCTCCCACACAAACTCCCGTCTCAGAGTCAGCTGTGGGGCAAACCCACCCTGGCACAGATGGCAAACAGCCTGGCACTCAGTCGGCTCACTTTCACTCTCTGCAGAACCGGACTAGGTGGAGAGTAGTCAGCAGCAGCCAGGAGCGGTGTGGGCTGGTGGCCTGGCGGAGGAGCAGGAGCGGGAGGGGGAGCCCTGACGCAGGCCCAGCCGCCGGAGGCGGGTTCATCTCCGCACAGCACTGCGGTTGTGAAGTTACTGTCTTGTGTTCCAGGTTCTGCATCCTCTTTCCATCCCAACGTCCCAGATCGTGTGCTCCAACTCAGGGTTCTTCGTTCAACACATTAGGCTTCTAGCCCAAGTCCTCTGTTCCTTGTTGCAAACATCACCGCCTGCAGGTTCCCTGTGTCAGCCCCGCCTCCAGGCTGAGGAGCTGATGCAGGCTCGCCTGCCCTCTGGCCAGTGTGCACGCCCGCCTGGCTCAGTGCTGAGTGCCAAGATCCAGGACCTGGTCAAGGCTGTCACCCTGCCACCGCCTGCCCCCCCTCACCCGCCCCCACTACAAACTCGTGTGCTCTTCCCGCATCGGGGAGCAAGGGGCCGGGCAATGCGATGGTGACCAGCCGGAGCCTGTGGGACCCGCACGCAGACAGCTTTGCCACCTCCCACTATGTGAGCCCCTCACTCTTGTGCATGGCGCTGATGCACGCCATCTATTCGAAGAGAACTCTGTGGGATGAGGGGTCTGGGACCTGCGTGGGGCCCCATGCTAGAGCCTGGCCCCCAAAACTCAACGCCCAGCCCATCCGTCGGTGACCTGTCAGAGCAGCGCCAGCTGCACGTCATGGTCAATGAAGAGAAAACGAGGACGAGCATCCACACTGGCCTCCTCGGGACCCGGACCACACACCGCTGATGCCTCTGCCTCTGGCTGGAATCACGTCAGCCACGCACGGCTCCCAGCTGGCTGTGCAGATCAGACGCTCAGAGGGGCAGCTATCTATGTCTTTGATTAATAAAAAATGGGAGGTAAATTAATAATGACTTAATACATGCAATTTGGGATCAAAATCTTCCAAAGCGTGGGGAAAATAACAAAGAGGGGAGTTCCTGAGAGGGAAAAGTCAGAGGCCGCCCTGAGCCGGCACTGCTGAGAAGGGCCAGCAGGGAGAGGCCAGCAGGGCCCGAGTTCTCACACCCACTGTGTGCCAGTGCTCTGCTTGGGCTCCCACGGGCTTCCTTCACCCTCACACAACCCTGGGGGTGTGCTACCACCCCGCTGTGTAGAGGAGTAAACCGAGGCTCAGAGAGGCCAAGTCACTTGCTTAGGATCAGTAAGAGATCTGAGCCTAGTTCAGCCTCACATAAAAAGGAACAACATTTATTAAAAAGGAGGGAAAATGCCCTAGCCGTTTTGCTCAGTGGATAGAGCATTGGCCTGCGGACCAAAGGGTCCCGGTTTCTATTCTGGTCAAGGGCATGTCCCTTCGTTGCAGGCTCCTCCCGGCCCACGGGGCGCATGCAGGAGGCAACCAATCGATGTGTTTCTCTCACATCAATATTTTTGTCTTTCCCTCTCTCTTCCACTCTCTCTAAAAATCAATGGAAAAATATTCTCAGTGGGGATTAAAAATAAATCAACAAACAAACAAATAAAAAGAAGGAAAAAAGAACCCCACCTGTGGTGTCTGGAAAGTCACTCTGAGTTTCCGAGGGAAAGAAGGGGGACAAGCAGAAAGAAGGAACAGCATGGAAGCTGAGTGCTGGGCATTGTTTACACCATTGCTGCTGTGTCTAGACCAGGCGGCACACAGTAGGTGCTCACAACTGAGAGACTGAAAAGTTTGGAGGCATATAGGGACATAGCAAATCCTGAGGTGGGGGAGAGGGAATGAATGTTTTGTTGTTTTAAAATATATCCTTATTGATTTCAGAGAGGGAGAGGGAGAGAAACATCAATGATGAGAGAGAATCATTGATCAGCTGCCTCCTGTGCGTCCCACACTGAGTATCGAGCCTGTAATCTGGGTATGTGCCCTCGCCGGGAATCAAATCTTGACCTCCGGCCAGGCGGAATGAATGTTGTTAAGCTCTAGTTTCGGAAGCACTTTGAGCAGGTATTGTTCATCTTATTTTTTTAAATCTTTGATTATGGAACTATTTCAAACAGAAAAAAATGGTAGAGCAGAATAAAGCAGAACCAGTGAACCCGTCACCCAGCTTCACCAGAGGTTCCTGTCCAGCCATATTCACTTCCACTATTCTTATAGCACAGTGACCAGGTAAGAGCCCTCCACCCCAGCCCCTTCTGTCCCCAGAGGTCACCTCTCCTTGAAGTGGGTGGGTCTCCTCCCCGAGTACTCGGCGCCATTCTGTGTTTAAACTTTCTGACTACGGTTATCTCACTGTGCCTTTCCCTTTTCACTCAGTTCTTCCGTTTCAGGATTTAGTCTGTGTTGGCACGTGCAGGCCTGGTCCTTCGCTGTGCCTGCCGTGCGGCGTTCCGGTGCAGGTCTCCATAGAACAGTTTGGTTCGTTTCTGCCTTCTCTTACTGATGCACAGGCAGGCACTTTTTACTCTTTGCTATTTCAAACGTGTGGCAATGACCATCTTTACACACATCTCCTGGTGCACGCATGTGTCACGTATGATCAGTATAACAATTACAGCATGCTGAAATGCGTGCACCCCTCCCTACCTGGCCTTGCAGCATGGCTTGCTGTCGCATAAGCTCAGTTTCCTCATCGGTAAAGTGGGCACCAAAATGCATTTTGGCAACAATTACATGCTCCAATGTAGCTGTAAGCACATTTTGCAACCTGTAAAGTACTCCATGAGTATTAGCTGTTTATTATTCAGGCAGGAGACATTCGGGATGCACGGAGCACCCCCCACACTGGGAACACACCAAACAGGCCTCATAGGGGACCCTTGGTGTGCTCGCAGGAGAACAAGAGTCTGAGAGGTGCAACACAGAACACAGGAGCCCGCTCTCTAACCTGGCCGGGAGCGGCAGAGGCAGGAAAGGCTTCCGAGAGGAAGTGACCCTGAGTTGAGCCCTTAGAAGACAAGGCCAAGGCGCGTGGCAACAGGAGGACGGCAGGATGGCCCAGGCAGGGGAAGCAGCCAATGGGAAGGGAATGGCTGATGCAAGAGAACAAGTTGGAACACACGAGCTGGGGGCCAGGGGGCCAGGGGTCAGTACGAAGGAAGTCTGGAGAGGTGAACAGCTGAGAGGCCGTATCCGGAGGGTGGCAGGCAGCCACTGGAGGATCTTAAGCAAGGGAGTGATGGGCTCAGATGTGTGTTAGGAAGAGGGCGCTGGGGGCCTGTGCCTAGTCAACAACAATGCACGGTACACGTAAAAGTGTGTTACGAGGGCTGATCTCATGTTAAGTGTTCTTACCACAGTCAAAGAGATTGGTCTGGCTGCAGTGTGAGAGGTGGGGCGGGGGTGGGGGGGTGGGGGAGAGGCTGGAGGCCAGGAGGCCAACGAGGGGTCGCTTTAGCGGTGCAGCACAGCATGGTGAAGGCTGGACTGAGGCCGTTGCCATTTTGCTGCCGTCACCCAGACAGCACACCCCCCACGACATGCGGGGGCATTGTCAGGAGAGACGGCAGCAGTGGCCAGCAGACGGGAACCTTGCCCGATTCAAAGAGGTGCATCCCCACATCTCCCAACCAGTCCTCGTCCTGGGCTCACTAGCACCCTGCGAGGCACAGCACCCAGCATGAGCTCGCGTTTCCGGGCAACATCAGCTGTTGGCATCTTGGCACCAAGGGCATGGCTGGGGCCCTACCACTGTCCCCTGATGAGAGACCCCACCCGTATCCAGGCTGCACAGACCCACGTGGAGTGAGGGGGAGAGGAGGGTGACATTATAGGACGAGAGGGGCTGCTGGGTATCATGGGTGGCCTGTGATATCTACGCGTCAAGTATTTAAAGGGGACAAAGACAGAACTGTCCCAGACTCCCCACCCCTCAAGTGGGGACCCCCATCAGCCTTATGAGTGAGGGTATTACCCTTGGAGCTCCTCACCCAGCGCAGAGGGTCCCTGGCCCTCCCTAGCCGTCCACTCTAGCAGCACTCCGTGCGTCCCCGCCCAGAACGCGCGGCCCTGGGATGACAGGTTCGCCTGCTCCCCTTTTGGGCTGTAAGCTCCGGGAGGAGCTCCCAGAACTCACCTGCCTTTCCCTGTTGCTCCCTCGGTGCCCACAACGGAGCCTGGCTCATCATAGGACCCCAGGAGTCCCTGTGAGGAGAGCGTGAGAGGTGCTGAGGGAGAGGAAAGCGTGGGGAAGACACCCAGATTTCCGAGGCCCCGAGAGAGGAAACATGTCTTGTCCAAGTCACAGGCGAGGCCCAAGGAGGTCACAGTTCCTGCTGGGCCTCTGACTCGGCACAGCCGCCCCGCACACTGCACTGAGCTCAAAGGCGGTGCTGCGACAGCCTGGCATCTCCCAGCGCATGTCCCACGGAGCGCCAGGCTCAGACTCTAGTGGGTAGCAACGGTCCACAGGGAAACACCGTGGGGAACTCTGGGTTCGACACAGGGAAAACGCTTTTTCACCACTGGACTCTCGGAGCCTTTACTGTCCTCGTGCGCATGGGATCCTCGGTGAAGATCACAGTCGGTATCCCCCACACATCTGACCACGGAATTATGCCTTTGAAACCCTTGGCAACATCCCCAACTGCTTGTCATGGTTATTTACTGAACATGGCACAGCACACAGATTTGTTGCAACTTTTGGGGTGGTGCAAGGAAGCCCTTTTTTCACAAGTGAAAATTAATCCCAGCCCCAAAACATAAATCGAATAAAGATAAGACTGCTCTGGCTGAAGGGGGGCCATCCCGTCACTGCTGCCACACCAGGAACCCCTGTGTCCCCCGGAGCCCAGTTTGAAAACCACTGAGCACAGGCTGCCACTTGGAGACCTGGCTTCTGGTGTGGGCCCCGCCGTGAACGGTTTTCCTTGCTCTGGTCACTCAGCCTCATTGGTCCTCAGTTTCCCCATCGACACAATGAGCCTGGTGGACTCGATGCTCTCTGGAGTCCTGAACTTTAATCTCTGACGTGAGGAGGGCTGGGATTCTGACTGTAAAGTTCTAACTAGATGATTCTATGGTTCTTTCATCCTGAGGTACCGTGACTTAACGTTCTGGTTCTGGGGCGGCCTGTAGCCAGCCTGAGCCGGTGCAGCGCACTGGAGCCCGGCTGCAAAAGGCAGAATTCATTAACTGCAGTGCGCTGCCCAGGGGCGCCCGCTTCCCCGGGGAGGGCACGCCCCAGGCAGGATGGAGGGGGCGGGGGTGGACGGGAGGGGTGGGTGGATCAGAATCAGCATCCACTCAGTGGGCAGAGCAGGGAGAAGGACCCAGGTCTCCTGACTCCTGCTCTATCTTTAGATCTCCATAGCAACCGTCGCCAGGGCACCAGAGCTGAAGGGAGGGCTGAGCTGGCTGCCTGCAGGAGGAGGGGCATTTGTGTCTGTGGCTCTTTTGCTGGAAAAAGGACTCTGGGCTGGGCTCTAGGGAAGGGAGACTGAGGAAGCCCTTCGCAGCAGGAAAGGCCCAGGGCCAATACAAAACAAAGGTAACCCAAAGCCCCACCTTGCTCGGGGAATGGGGTCAGGTCACAGAACCCAAGACCTTCCTTGTGTCAGGCTCCGGGCACTGGAGGTACAGAAGGCAAGTTCCTCCTCCAAAGAGCTCTCAGCCGCCCGCGGTCATTCCCTGTGCTTAACGGACAGTCACTGAGCCAGCCCTGAGGCCACCCAGGGGAAGCACAGGGCATGGTCTAACGGCACAAGCCCTCTAACCTGAGGAACCCGGGGAGCTCTTCTGGCCCCTTCCCTACCAACCCCTCCTCCTCCTGGGGCTCAGCCTGGACCAGGACTCCAGGAAGTCCTTCCTGACTCCCAGCTGGTTACTCCTCCCCAGGCTCCTGACACCTCCCCCCCACCCTCTTCCCCACTGCAGGATGCCTGCTGAGGGAGGTAGCAGATGAGAAACAGGTGCGTGGAGGTACAGACAGCCGCCGCCATCACAGGGCGAGTCAGCTGTGGCCTTCTGCCGCGTTTTCTGGTCCCAGTCTGTGTTCCTCCCTGGGTCTCACTGGCAGGCCCCTGGCCTGGGCTTAAGGGAGGCCAGGTCTAGAAGAGGAAGTAGGAGTCCTCGGCCAGGCCCGCACGCAGCAGGCCCTTGGCCATGTCCTCGGTAAACTGGGCCGAGCCACAGACCAACGCAAACGGCTTTCTCCGGCAGGAGCCAACCAGCTCTTCAATCAGGTCCTGGCCCAGGCGGCCAAAGCGGGTCTTCTCCCGGTAACTCCAAGGAAGCTGCTCCGGGGAGTTCTCCTGGGATGATGAGAAACAGTGGGGGTGACTACTGGGGATCCTCCGAGTTCACACACAGCTATCCCCGCCAAATGAGGAAACTGAGGCAGAGGGGATGGGAAGGCAACCTTCCCCTAGCCCTACCACAAGTCAGGCGCTTGCTCACGCTGGACACAGCACCCACCGCCAGCCTGTAGGTAGGTAGTTACCCTCCGACAACAGGGAGGCACAGGGAGGAGGGACATTCGGGGGGGGGGGGCACACAATGAGGTAGGAGCAGAGGCAGGAGAACTCAGGCCCCTTTGTTCCTCACTGCCTCTGGGGGCCACTGTACCTGTCACCGTGGGGGGAGTGTTTTCTCCCCATGACTGTGGGTCTCCCAGCATCTCCCCAAGGCTGTCCACACCATCACCCTGGGAGCATAACTGGCGTTCATCTGTTTAAGGCGTCAGTTAACTTGTTGGTTTACCAGTATTTACTGGGTGGTCACTCTGTGCCTAGCACTGTGCTAGGCCTGGGGACAGGGCAGCTGCTCTGACAGGCAAGGTTCCTGGCCTCCTGCTGCCCATGCAGATCAGAGCTCCCAGCACCGCGCCGGGACCAAGAGAGGGTCTTTCTCTCAGGGAAAGGTGGAGGTGGCTCGGGCTGCACAGAGCCGAGGGACCAGGGCTGGCTCTTTCTGTGCTTCTGGCCTGGCTGTGGCGTTCGGCCTCAGGGCCACTGAAGGAAAGCTCTGCTGCCGGCCGAGTTGGAGCATAACATACGTATAAAAATTGTAGGAATCATTACGTATATATAGTTTGAAGAACTCATGTAACCAGTACCCAAAGCAAACAAACAAAAACCAACAGCACGGGACTGTTCAGACCTCTGAGCTTCTAGTTCCTGGGCTAATGGGCAGGAAGGAGAGAGGGGTTCGGGTTGGGTTGGAATCTGACTTTGCTGCCACTCCTGGCCGCGTGACAGCGACCTCTCTGAGCTAGTGTGGTGAGAGCGGGGTGATGGGAAACCTGGTAGAGGCTCCGTGAGGGCAGCCTCTAACCCAGTGATGGCGAACTTTTTGAGCTCGGCGTGTCAGCATTTTGAAAACCCTAACTTAACTCTGGTGCCGTGTCACATATAGAAATTTTTTGATATTTGCAACCATAGTAAAACCAAGACTTATATTTTTGATATTTATTTTATATACTTAAATGCCATTTAACAAAGAAAAATCAACCAAAAAAATGAGTCCGTGTGTCACCTCTGACACGCGTGTCACAGGTTCGCCATCACTGCTCTAATCTCAGGTGCAGTCCAGAGCCTGGGCGCCCACCTCACGGAGCTCCTCTGACCCTGGGGGCTCCCTGAGGACAGCACTGTGGTGCTGATGGGTCCTCTGAGGACCTGGATCTTCCCGGCTCCCCCCAAGCTCCCACACACGCTATGGGCCCTTGAGGGCAGGAACACTGGCCTCCCCTCTCCTTCCCACTGCCCGATTCCCTCAGGCCAGTTAGGCTCGCTCAGCCTCCTCAGTTGCACACCCGAGATGCACAGGGTCTGGTTACTGCTCAGGTGGGGAGGGGGCGGTAAACAATGTGCTGCTGCGAAGGAGAGCCCAGGCAGTGACAGTACAAACACCCGCCCAGCCTGGGCTCAGGGAGCGCTTCCCGAATGGCGTTACCCAGCGGAGATGAGGGATGAGTAGGTGTTGGGTGAAGAAGCAGGGAGGAGTACTCCTGGCAAAGGGAACGGTGGGGAGCACAGACCCAGCACCCAGAAGAGCAGACAGCACCTGCAAGCTCAGCAGACCAGTGCCACCAGAACGCGGCACGCAGGGAGGGCGTGCCTGGAGACCAGGCGGCAGAGGACTGGCACAGCCATGCGGGCTGAGAGCAGCGGGGAGCCAGGGAAGGGCTGGAAGCAGGGTGGAGGTGTGTCAGAGTTGCCCTCCCAGCTGCAGGATGAAGGACAAACCAACAGGGGGTGTCTGGAGCAGGGAGACGCTGGAAGATTCAAGCTGTCGCTGCAACCAGGCAGGAGAGGGAGCATCCTGAGTGGAGGGAGTGCGGACGAACAGGAGGTGCCTGCCACTCCATCGTTCCTGCCACTGATGGCCAGCCCACTCGCCTGACCCATCCCAGGCCCCTGGCATCATCCAAGCCCCAGCCCAGAGCTGAAGGCCCTCTATTGCTGGTGAACTTGAACTCTACCCACAAGCCCAGGTTTGGGTGCCACCTCCTCTGTGAAACCCTCCCTGCTTGCTGCAGCATCCTGAACACCCTCAGCAGCACCCATCCCTGTGCTGTCTTATACTGATGAGCGGTAAGGGCAGGGCCTCTGGAGTAGGACCACCAGGGTTCACATCCAGCTTCCCACCAACTTGCTGTTACCTTGGGCAAGGTTCTTAAATCTCCTGAGCCTCAGTTTTCACATGTGTACAATGGGCATGATGGCAGCACAAAACTCCTAAGGTTGTGGTGGGGGTTTACATGAGTTAACACACATGAAATGCTTAGGACAGTGCCAGGCAGGGAGAAAGTGCGCAAGGAGGGGAAGCCATTGTCAGCCACCCCTGTGGCTGTCTCCCATAAACAGGTGATGCCTGGATGGAAGAGAGCAGGTCATCCTCATCGGCACCTGGCATGTGGTTTGGAAAAAGGAAGCCGGGGCGATTCTGCCAGGTGCCAGCTTCCTGCCCCATCTGCCACCCTCCCTGACCAGGCCCTCGGGCAGGGGGGAGGGTGCTGCCAGGCAGCAGTGGCCTTTCCCTCACCCCCCTCTCGGCTGCTTCAGCCTTCTGCTTCGTTCCCCTGCCTGGGCACTGCTGCTGCTGCTCACGCTCACCAAGCACAACCCTCTCGACAACTCTGTCCCATGGACAGGCCAGCAGACCCCGGGCCCTGGGGAGCCCCGGACCTCTGGTGTTGGGAAGGGAAACCCAGTTTCTTGACACGCCCATCCGGCCACATGTCAAGGATCACAGACGTCTTTAGGGACACTCTAAAGCTGACTCAAAGAGGAAACTGATGAGAAGGGAGGTCCAAAGTACAGGGCAATGAGGCTGACCCTGAGCAACAGAGCATGGAGGGAGGCACCAGCCGGGTACCCAACCCGGGGCTGCAGGAAAGAGAAATAAAGCTACTGACAGGGGAAGACAGGTGAACAGAGAGAGCTAAGGGCTGGGCTTGAGGTAAAGGGCATGATGGGCCCCCATGCTATTAGGGCTCACAGGGGAGGGGCTGGGAAGGCCTGAGTGAATGAGGGGATGGGGAGCCAGAGGCAGGGGGGTCAGGAGGCAGAATCGCTTCCAGCCAGAGCAGCGGTTCTCAACCTGTGGGTCGCGACCCCTTTGGCGGTCGAACGACCCTTTCACAGGGGTCGCCTAAGACCATCCTGCATGTCAGATATTTACATTACGATTCATAACAGTAGCAACATTACAGTTATGAAGTAGCAACAAAAATCATTTTATGGTTGGGTCACAACATGAGGAACTGTATTTAAAGGGCCAGAAGATTGAGAACCACTGAGTTAGAGTGTCTGCAGCCAGGAGAGTTGGAAAGCAGCTTTCCTCGCAGGCAGGGGCAAAGTGATGTGGTAGGCACACAACTGCTGATGCCAGAGGGCAGATAACAGGCAGCAAAGCATGATGGGCAAGGGCTGGAGCTCTGGAGTCAGAGAGTCCAGGCTCAAATCCTGGCTGTACCCCATCGAGCAGCACCACTCGGGCTGGCACCTCCACCATCCTGAGCAGGTTTCCTCATCTGCATTATGAACACAACACCTGCCTCCCTGCCAGGCGCATGGTGGGGACTCCACCAGGGGCTGGAACTTTGCAGCCTGGGCGCAGAGCCACAGCAGCCCTGGGACAGGGGCAGAAGCGCAGTCTCAATTGGGAAAGGAAGTCGCCGCCCCGGGCTTACCTGGCTGAGAACAAAGAAGGTGCGGACGTTCCAGAAGCGGGCCTGCTCTTGCAGGAAGGTTTTCAGGTAGATGCCCTCAAAGGTCCTGAAGCAGCCGACCAGGGTGACAAAGGTCTCATCCTCCGCATTGTCCGTGATGCTGTGCAGGAGGGGCACCATGGGGGCCAGGCCGGTGCCCGAAGCCAGCATGAGCAGCTCACCGTACTGGGGAACAGGAGGGGTATAGACAGGAAGGGTTGGGGGGTCTCACCCCACCCACCCACTTCGGGGCCTGTTCTTGGGCTTGCCTGAACCGGAGGGCCCTGCCCTTCCGAGTGCTCATCCCTCTGAGCGAGCCCCTCTGCCTCCTCTAGGATACCACCTTGCTTGTTAGTCTACAGCCTGGAAGGTCTGTGTAACAGAAATCAAGGAATCTGGTGCTGAAAGGGAGCCTGAGGGTGTGGCCCATCCTACAGTGGTTTGTTTTCCTGCTAAACATCCCCACAGGACCCTTACATGCTTCTGCTGACAGGCAGCCCATTTCCTTGCCAGGCAGTTTGCTCTATGACGGACTGACCCCCTTTGCCAGGGAGGTCTTCCCACCTCACATTGAGCTAAAACCTGCTCTCAGCACAGCCTTGCCCACTGCTGCCATGCTGGCCCTGCACTTGGGCTGCTTCCTCTGTGCCAGGGCAGCCCTGCAGAGCTCTCAGGGCGCTGGTTTGGAAACCTGAGCCTGCCCCTCTCCAGACCACAGGATACTTTACATAGATTCCTTCCCCTTTCTGAGCCCCTTACTGCCCGCCATACCATCCAGCCCTGATTCCCTGCCCTGCCGTCTCCCAGTCGTTAGCCTACCCTGGTCCTCCTCCTCCTGCTGCTCAGGTGCTGCCCTGGGAAGCCTTCCCTGAGCCAGGGACAGGTGAGGGGTCCTTCCTGTTTCCCACAGCCCCCCGTGGACCTGCCTCACAACTGGCCACGCTGTGCTGTGGTCATCTGTTTGGGTGTCAGTCTCCCCGTTAGACCATGAGCTTCTGGAGTACAGGGGTCTTGTCCGACCCGTTCTGGCCCCAGGGTCCAGCAAGGACCCGGCCCTGGATGAAGACATGGGAATGTGTGTGGAGGAACACACAGATCAATGCTAATGTGTCAGTCCTCCAGGCTGACTTGATGTCCATCTCCAATGAAGACAACTGCAGAGCAGCAAGACACCCCAGCCTCCTCAGGGGCCGGTGTCAATGTGTGGGACCCCATCTCTTCTTCCTCACTGCTGGGCCCTACATCCTCCCTAGACAGGAAGTGTAGGGGTTTCCATCCGTGTTCTGTGGATGCAAGGGAGCAGCCACGGGGCCTGGAGAGGCTCCACCCAGAAAAGGTGGTGAAGACAACCTTCGTCAGGTGCACCTCAAGGTTGCGAGAAAACGGAAGATCCTTAGTGCCTGCTCTTAGGTCTGGGGGACACAGGGACATCCTCAACTGAAATGCAAGGCTGAAAATGGTTAGCACTAGGAGAATAGTGTAGAAGAGTGTTAATATATGCACACCCTGCCTGGCCAGCATGGCTCAGTGGTTGAGCGTTCACCTATGAACCAAGAAGTCACGGTTCGATTCCTGGTCAGGGCACATGCCTGGGTTGCAGGCTCAATCCCCAGTGGGGGCATACAGGAGGCAGCCAATCAATGATTCTCTCTCATCATTGATGTTTCTGTCTCTCTTTCCCTCTTCCTTCCTCTCTGAAATCAATAAAAATATACTTTAAAAAATATGTATTTTTGCCCTGACCGGTTTGGCTCAGTGAATAGAGCGTCGGCCTGCGGACTCAAGGGTCCTGGGTTTGATTCCGGTCAAGGGCATGTACCTCAGTTGCGGGCACAACCCCAGTGGGGGATGTACAGGAGGCAGCTGATCTATGTTCCTCTCTCATCGATGTTTCTAACTCTCTATCCCTCTCCCTTCCTCTCTGTAAAAAATAAAATATATTAAAAATATATATATATTTTTAAAGTATATTTTGTATGTATGTGTGTGTATATATATATATGTATATGCACACCCCTTATCTGTAAAATGAGGGTAGCAGTACTAGGAGCTGTTGTGAGGATTCAAATCAGAGCTTGGCACATACATGCTTGATATCACTATATGCACAAAGGTGTGTGCACTTGTTCATACACTGACGCATGGAAGAGGATCTAGGCCAGAAGAATACATGCCAAGGTAGTAAGACTGATATGTCTGGGTAGATGGCCTGCAGGTGTTCTTTATTTTCTTCTTATTGCCTCTCTATATATCTGCTGATTTTTTTTTTTTTAATGAACATGTATTGCATTTATAATAAGGAAAAACAAACAATAAAAGCTATTTTTAACTTAAACAAAAAGAACGGAGAGGAATGACTCATTCTCTTCCTTGTTTTTGTTTTCCTAATTAGAAAGGTAATAGGTGTTCATCACGGAGAATTTGGAAAGTATAATGAAGAAAATAAAAATCACCCCTTATTTCATCACCCAGAGCTGAAATAATGCTATCATTTAATTGCATTTTCTTTCCATGTTTTTTTTCTGTGCATTTTAACTTAGTTTCCCAGTCTGGTGTCTATTCAGTTTTGTGCCTAGTGTTTGTCACTTGATCTTATAATATAAACATATAATATCAATTATAAACATAATTTTAAAATCCAGGATAATTCTTTTAAGTACCTGAAACCCAGTGTACTTAAATGTTCCCCTGTGGCTGAATACTCAGCTATCTCCAATTTCTTGCTACCATAAATAAAGCTGTAATGAACATGTGCAAGAGTCAGCATTTTGGATTCCTTCCACAGGACAGACTTCCAGAAGTGGAATTACTGGGTCAGAGATTCTTAAGACTCTTCATACTGCCAAACTGCCTTCCAGATATGCACCAACTGATGCAAAATTACTGATTCCTCCTGGGAACATCAGGGAAGGCTCTGCGCGTAGCATGAAGATAAGGAGAAGAGCCTTCCCGGCTGGGAAGCAGTGGCCTCCCAGGCAGTGAGCCATGAGACAGAATTAGGGGGCAGTCTCTGTGGTCTTGTAACAGGAATGTGCATCTGGAAAGATATGTGCGGGTGAGTGGGATCGGGGTCTTAAAAACCAAGTATGTGAGTCGGAGTTTTCTAAGAGATAGGCCGTCATGGACAGTTCTGGAGCATGGGCAGGCGACTGTATTTCTTAGTGCCTATTCCCCCGCCTCCCATGTCCAGCCCCAAGGATACTCTCAGGCTTGGGTTTGGGCTCAGGAAGAATGGTACCATGAGACTCAGAAACCCGAAACTAGAAGCTGCAGTCTTGGAGGCTAAGCTGGGGTGCAGAGGGGAGGGGTAGGGAGGGGTGCGGAGGGGAGGGGGGAAGGAGGGGAGGGGGGAAGGAGGGGAGGGGGGTCTCCTGAGGATTCCATGTGCTGGCACTGACCTGGTTTGGTTTATAGAAGAAGTTTCCGAAAGGTCCTCGCCAGAAAGCCGTGTCTCCTTCTTTCAAGGACTCAACATACCGGGACATCAGCCCAGTCTGGTAGCACTGGGAGCAAACACAGGAGACCTCATCGGGACGGGCAGTGCTGCCAATCCACACCACACCAGCCATTCCCGGGGAGCCCTTTCTGCAACGCTAAATACTTTACAAGCGTCATCTCATTTAATCATCCTCCTCATCCCGCAGAATTGGTACTGTCATCCCCAATGTTCAGAGGAGGCCCAGGAGCTTACACACAAGGGAAATGGTGAGGCTGGGATGAGACTCCATAGGACCTTCAGCTTTAACTACAGAGGTCTCAACCCAAATAGCTCAGGGCCCATACAGGTAACATAACTGGGTGCAGAACTGGGTATGAAATGATTAGTGACAACTAACACTCAGCCTCAGTACCAGAGGGCAGCAGGGAACGGTAGGGACTGTGGTAAATTGGGGAGTGAATGCTCCTTCTAAAGGAAGAAGCCACTTTGAAGATTCCAGTACAGTTGGTGGGGCTGATGATGCCAGATCTGATTTTCCATAGGAGCAAAACATCCATATTTTTATGTTAAATCTCCCATTTTTGAAATGTCAGCAATTAAGTCAAATTTTTAAAACACTCTACAGGCCAAAACCAAATAAAATTAGGGCTGGAATCAGTGTGTAGCCCACTCATTTGAAACCTCTGCATCAGCCTACACCAGGGGTCCTCAAACTACGGCCCGCGGGCCACATGCAAATACAAATATTGTATTTGTTCCCGTTTTGTTTTTTTTACTTCAAAATAAGATATGTGCAGTGTGCATAGGAATTTGTTCATAGTTTTTTTTTAAACTATAGTCTGGCCCTCCAAAGGTCTGAGGGACAGTGAACTGGCCCCCTGTTTAAAAAGTTTGAGGACCCCTGGCCTACATTGTTTCCTGGATGGATGAAAAAATGAAGGATGTGGAGATTCCTCCATGGGAGGCAGTCTACATTTTCTGAGGGCCTGCCCTCACTGTGCCAGGCACCATGCTGAGGCTGCAGGGAAGACAGCTGGACCTGAATTCATTCATAAGTATATGAATGAACAAATGAATGAATAAGTGAATCGATCAATCACTCAGTTATTCAGATTAAGGAGCTCACAGTCCAGGAGGAACCTGTCCTGTCTCAGACATACACACGGTAGAGACTACCTAATACTGCATGAGAAGGATAAAGTGCTGGGAGAACACTGAAGAGATGCAGTCACTTCCAATGGAGCAGGATCAAGAATAGCTTCCTGGCCCTAGACGGTTTGGCTCAGTGGATAGAGCATCAGCCTGTGGACTGAAGGGTCCCAGGTTTGATTCTGGTCAAGGGCACATGCCCTGATTGTGGGCTTGATCCTCAGTAGGGGGCGTGCAGGAGGCAGCCAATCAATGATTCTCATCATTGATGTTTTTATCTCTCTCTTCCTCTCTGAAATCAACAAAAATACATTAAAAAAAAAAAAAGATAGCTTCCTGGAGGAGGAAGCGTTTGAGCTGGACCTTGAAAACTGGGTAAGATCGAATTCTCTGGGAATGGGAGGTAGAGGGCAGAGAGGATTCTGGGCATCAAGTATGGTACGGTCAGGGGTAGGACAGCCCAGGTCAGGTGCTGGGAACAGCAAGTGGACACAGTAGGGTGTGGGTAGGAGGGAAGCACTGAACCGCAGGACTGGAAGGGTGTTTGATATGAGATTATAACCAGGCTGGGCTCTGGTCACCAGACATGCTTTTAGGCACCCCAGCCACCTCTAGCACCATCCCTGACTTCCTTAGACACTGTGTGCCTGAAGCCAGGGGAGTCCTTGCTTGGCTCACCTGGCAGAGATCTGGGAGGGAAGCTACAGTTCTAACTTGCTGGAGGCTGTCTCAGAGCACACCTTGTTTTCTGGCCCGTCTCAGGGGAGGCACAGCCCACACAGAGCCTGGCTCAGTACACACTAGTTAACTAGGACTGACGCTGAACTTCTGTTCTTCCCCTTGGAATTGTATTACCCAAGGGACCTGGGGAGAATGACATCATCCCTCTGAGTATCAGCTTCTCCGTCTGTAAAATGGGGATATGATCTACTCTGTAGGGTGGTTATGAGGTTGAAACGAAACAATAAAGAGCCAGAAGCAGTGCCTGGTGCCCAGGAGGTGCCTGAGAATTGGGAACTCCTCCTTCTCGTCTACCAGGGAGGGTAAACCTAAAACCATCTGTCTGCCCAATTTGCAAAGACATTTCCAGCTCTTCGTAGCCAGCGGCTTAGGGGTAATTAAGCATCTCTCTATAGAGAGGCTTTCTGGGAAACCAAGGAGAAAAGCAGCCTTGCAGCTGGGAGGGGACTGTCTCTAGGCTTATCCTTTCAACAGAAACACACCCAGACAAGCAGCTTGGGGAAGCAGGCCATTTGGAGAGGATTTGTGGAATCTCCCAGACAAACAGTTGTGCGGAGAAGGGATCCCATCCAAGCTTATGTGGGAGGGAGTAAACACTCGGGCTCTGAAGGCAGGCAGGGGAGGTGGGAGCCAGAGACAGTGCTGGGGTCTTGGAGTCAGGAGGCCAGGGCTCACCATCTGCCACACTTACTGGCTGTGGAGCTTCAGGTTCTCCTGGGGCCTTAGTTTGCTTATCAATGAAATGGGGATAATCCCTGTCCTATGAGGGAGATAAAAGGATGTGAAAGCTATTCTTAAACACTGGGGTTCCCTAGGACTGCATTTGAGAAATGATAATCTAGAGCAGTGGTCGGCAAACTGCGGTTCTCGAGCCATATGTGGCTCTTTGGCCCCTTGAGTGTGGCTCTTCCACAAAATACCGACTTCTGCGCATGGGCCACGAAGTTTCAATCGCACTGTACGTGCGTGCCCGCACGTGGTATTTTGTGGAAGAGCTACACTCAAGGGGCCAAAGAGCCGCATGTGGCTCTCGAGCCGCAGTTTGCCGACCATGGATCTAGAGCTATGTATTAGGCTGACCCATATGACACTGCTGTTTCTGTAAGTCAAAAATATTAGAGTATCAACAATTTCATGTAGTCCCACCTAATTATTTTTTCCACATAATTGGACCTTCATGACTTCTTATATATTTGGTGCCTATTCTTTGGGCCTCTGGGGTATTTTGTATCCAACCCACTTTGTTCATCTCATCTCTGCCAACCCCCTCACCACCTTGGCTGCCCCACAAGCACCTTTCCTCCTGCCATTCAGACTGGGAACAGTTCCCACAAGACCCTGCTCTGTTTCACCTCTCCCTGCCTTTGGTTATCCATCCTCTTGGCCTAGATGCCATTCCCTGCCACTGCCAATTTCTACTCCTCTAAGACCCAACTCAAATGCCCAGCCCCTGCCCACCTCCCCGAGAAGTAATCTCAGGTTAGTTTGGTCCACAAGGTGCTCCGCATCCCACTTTTCCTTGGATGGCCCCTTTCGATCCAGGACAAATAAGCAGTTCCCCCATCAGGCCTCCTTCTCCACTGCACATGCAGTTCCCAGCACTTAGACCAGTGGTTCTCAACCTTCTGGCCCTTTAAATACAGTTCCTCATGTTGTGACCCAACCATAAAATCATTTTCGTTGCTACTTCATAACTGTAATGTTGCTACTGTTATGAATCGTAATGTAAATATCTGATATGCAGGATGGTCTTAGACGACCCCTGTGAAAGGGTGGTTTGACCGCCAAAGGGGTCGCGACCCACAGGTTGAGAACCGCTGACTTAGAGCTTCCGCCCACCTTTCCCTCTGGCTCCCCACTCCTTTACTTAAACATACAGCATCTTCTGCGGGGAGGCCCAGCCTGCTTTCCATAGCTCCAGCCACCTGTGCTGTACTGGGGCCTCCTGGCAATGTGTCTAACACACTGTACTGTTCTGGCTGCTCCACTGTCTGAGGACCCCCATGCCCATCACACAATGGGTCCCCTTTCCCCCAGGCTCAGTGCTCTCTCCACTGACAGGCACAAAAATGAGGAGCAGCTTTCACTTGCTCAGTCTGAGGCTCCTTTCCATAAAATCTGTCAGGAATAAGCCCTCTGTTGGGGGTCGAGCAGACCCTTCACCAGGAAGGAGATGGGAGAAGCCACTCTCTTCCCTCGGGCCAGCCTCCTTCCACGTGAGCACTGGCTCTTCCACATCAGTGGGAACTGCCCCATCCCACCCAAACCAGCAAATGGGGGCTTCCGTCCACAGCTCGGAGCATCGTGTGAGTCAGCTCACCTTGATCAAAACTTCAAAGTAGCCTTCTGCATTGACAGGGCTGATAGGTGTGTAGGCTCTCTGGATTTCTAAGCCGTCTACTATCCCTCTGGGAGAGAGAAGCACTCAGTCAGGCAGGCAGGCAGGCATTCGACAAACCCGTCTAGGATCCACTCCACCAGGCTGGTGAAAGCAAAGGTGGGCCTGGTCATCCCCAGTGGTCCTCACTGAGGGGCGAGCAGGGAAAAAGAGCACCGAGTCCCCCGCTGCCCCATGCTGGCTGCATCCCCCCACAGGTCATCTATATATATAAAAGCCTAAGCGACCTTTACAGAGGACCGACCAGAACAACTGGTCGCTATGATGCACACTGACCACCAGGGGGCAGACACTCAATGCAGGAGCGGCCCCCTGGTGGTCAGTTCGCTCCCACAGGAGGAGCACTGCTTAGCCAGAAGCCAGGCTCACGGCTGGTGAGCGCAGCAGCAGTGGCGGGAGCCTCTCCCACCTCCAGGGCAGTGTTAAGGAGCAGCAAGCTGAGCCGTAAGGAACAGTGAGCAGGCAGGCAGTAAGGAGCAAGGGTTCCTGAACTGCAAGAGGGTGCAGTTTGGGCTGAGGGACCCCCTCCCCCAGTGCACATATTTTGTGCACCAGGCCTCTAGTTCATCTATAAATTATGATCCATATGAAACTGCCCCCTTTAATAAAATGGGCCAACCATCTTTGTTCCTGTGGTGTAGCTCCACTGGGATTACAGATGGGAAAGTGCTTCAAGAGTACATTGATACCCGGGCTGTGTTGCTCAGTAGTTGAGCACTGACCCATGCACCAAGAGGTCACCAGTTCAATTCTTGGTCAAGGCACTTGCCAGGGTTGTGGGCTCAGTCCCTGGTGGGGGACATGCAGGAGGCGGCCGATGGATGTTTCTCTCTCATCAATGTTTCTCTCTCTCCCTTCCTCTCTCTCTCAAATCAATAAAAACATACATATATTTTTAAAAGGATACATTGATGATGTGAGCTGTTTTAAGGACATCAATGTGTTTTTTTCCTGACTTCTCAACCATAGAATGATAAAGATAAAAACAACTGTTTTTAACAAGTTGTTTATTAAATACTTACTACCATGTGCCAGGTTCATTAGATTGGGAAGGACCCTCAAAGGTGCCCTAGTCCAGTGGTCGCCAACTGGTGGTCCGTGAGGTCCGAAAGGTTGGCAACCGCTGCCCTAGTCCAAAGCCCGACCCCGGGTATAAATCCTCCGCACAATGTTGTCAACAAGGGTGCAGGATGATTGTCATGAAAATAGCACCCTTGTTGTCTTACATGCCTACTACACACCAAGCATATTATATGCATTATCTTCTTTATTTTTTTTAAATATATTTTATTGATTTTTTACAGAGAAGAAGGAAGAGGGACAGAGAGTTAGAAACATTGATGAGAGAGATCGATCAGCTGCCTCCTGCACGCCCCCCACTGGGGATGTGCCTGCAACCAAGGTATATGCCCTTGACCGGAATCGAACCTGGGACCCTTCAGTCCGCAGGCCGACGCTCTATCCACTGAGCCAAACCGGTTCGGCTGCATTATCTTCTTTAATTCAAATAATAACCCAAGGGAAAAACCCAAGGCTCAGAGAAGGAAAGCCACTTGCCCAAGGTCACCCACAGCTCTGACTGCCGAGCCACATTCCTCACCATCACTCCTCAGAGCTTCCCTTCTCCAGCCCTGCAATGTACGCAAAGGTTTTTGTAAAAGGCCTGTCCTGCCCAGTCAGTGTAGCTCAGTGAGCAAGTGAGTGCTGACCCACGAACCAGGAGGTTAGGGTTCAATTCCCAGTCAGGCATATCCTAGGTTGCTGGCTCCATCCCCAGTAGGGGGCCTGCAGGAGGAAGCCAATCGATGATTAACTCTCATGTTTCTATCCCTCTCTCCCTTCCTCTCTCGGAAATCAGAGGAGTGGTTAAGAGTGTGACTCAGGAGCTGGGCTTGGATGCAAAGAGCTCAGTGACATTTGCTACAACAGGCAAAAGTGACATGCTACGGAGGGAGCAACCACTCACTGGGAGCCCTCAGGGGGCCTCCTGGAGCTGGGGTTAAAGGATGAGCAGGCCACTGACAGGTGAGAATGGGAAGTAATTCCAGGCAGGGCAATACTGGGCAGAAGCTTAGAGGTAGGATGATGTAGGGCAGGAACTGGTGAGTGGATCATGAGGCTGGAACAAGGGGCACATATGCAGCAGGGGGAGAGAGAAGAACTTGATGGGAAAGGAAGCTGGGAGTCTGGGTTAGGATGCCATTATGTAGGCGTCATGAGCACAGGTGTTGGAACAGGGAGTGACATGGTCAGCTGCATGGGTTAGGAAGGTCACTGGAGTGGCAGAGAGGGTGGAGGAGAGGGAGGGAGTTCCTGACTTATGGTCGGTTGCATGGAGCTGTGACCTGCCCTCTGGCCCCTCCCATCCATGGGAATGGTGAGCTTTAAGGACTGCCAGCCAGGCCACAGGCCAGAACGAGCTGGGCACAAATACCAGGGGTCAGTGCAAGGCAAGTGGCCAGAGGGTGACCAGTAATATGCTCTCTCTTGGTTCTCGTCGTGCTCTGGCTTCACCTTCTGTCTCCTTTGCTGGCTCTTCCTCCTCTTGCCAATACCGTAAATGCTAGAGTAGCCAGGGTTTGGTTCCCCGCCCTTCCCTCTTTCCATGCCACGTGCTCCCAAATGCTGTCCAGGTAGATGCCAATGATTCCCATGCCCATGTCTGCAGCTCAGATCTCTCTGCTGAGCCTCATATCCACAGAGTTAACTGCCCGGCAGAGGCCTCCATCTGGAGGTCCCAAAGGGTCTTTGTGCCTGGACAGGTGAAGGTGGAAACAAAGGCGGGAGCAGAGTACACAGGTAGGCTGGGAGGAAGAAGAAACTCGAGAGTGGTTAAGAGTGTAACTCAGGCCGAAACCGGTTTGGCTCAGTGGATAGAGCGTCGGCCTGCGGACTGAGGGGTCCCGGGTTCGATTCCGGTCAAGGGCATGTACCTGGGTTGCGGGCACATCCCCAGTGGGAGGTGTGCAGGAGGCAGCTAATCAATGTTTCTCTCTCATCAATGTTTCTAACTCTCTATCTCTCTCCCTTCTTCTCTGTAAAAAATCAATAAAATATATTTTAAAAAATTAAAAAAAAAAAGAGTGTAACTCAGGAGCTGGGCTGTCTGAGTTTGAATGCTGGCTCCACAACTTATTGGCTATGTGATACGGGGCAAGTCCCTTGTTCTCAAAGACAGTGTCCTTTCTATCGACTGGCGCGAATCATACAGGTGAATACCACAGGCGCTAGAGCCACACTGCCTGCCTTCCAATCCTGGCTCCAACATTTCCTAGCTGTGTGACCTTGGGCAAGCTACTAAGCCGCTGTGACTTCAGTTTCTTCGCGGGTCTGCTAATGGTACCTACCACTCGGGATTTTGTGAGAATTAAATGAGCTCATAAGCACACAGAATTGTCCCTGGGATAGTATGTGCTATTAGTGTTTGCTATTTTATTTACTATGAAAATGCATTCTTGTTCAATCCCAAGAACCCTCTGAATCATGTATTACTTTGTCTACTTTGAAGATGATTAGTGGGGGGTTAAGCCGTCGCCCTAGGCCACACAGCTAGCAAAGGGCAAAGCAGGGCTGCAAAGCTTTGATCCTCCCACTACCTGAGTGTACCGTAGGATGAGGTGCTGGCCGGGCCGCAGGCCGAGCTGGCTGCTCCCGGGTAGTGCAAACCGCACACGGTAGGTGTCCTGAGTGAGTTTGTCCATGGCACTGATGCGGAAGGCCAGGAACGTCTCTGGGCTCAGTTTGGAGGGGAAGTTCTGCAACAGGAAAATATCCAGCGGCTAGAAAGCGGGACTCAAGAGACATGCAAGCATCTTGCCCACTTCCCCCAGGGAGAGGCTATCTATCCTGGCGGACCTGAGGCCAGACAGGTGCTGCCACCCGAGCCCTCTGGTCTGAGGAGTCCCTTACCGGTGCTTCCTTCCCTCTTAGCAGGCTTCTGTCCTTGCTGGCTCGGGCTGCCTCCCACCTCGCCAGGTCTCGGTCATAGAGGTCGAACACACAGGGTGAGCAGCCACTGCCGCAGCACTGGGAGGGCAAGGGCTCCACAGGCCGAAGCTGCAGCCAGGCTTCCTCATCATCGTCCTCCTCCTTCTCATCCATCATCAGAGGCTCAGGCAGCCTGGGGGGGACAACAGGTGCTCTTCCCAGAGCAGGCCTGGCTCTGTGAGAGTCACTGGCCCAGGCCCTGTTCCCTGGAAGGTCCGGAGAGGGAAAACATGTCGTTACACTCTGGTCACCTCGACTCCTCCCATCCTCCTGAGGCTTGCAGATGCCTTGCGTGTGTGCGTGCGCTGTGTGAGCACTGAGGACAGGGATGAACCACCCTGGAGTCTGGTGCCTGGGGGGGAGGCAGGCAAACAGAACAGAACCATCAAAGCTGGCGTCAAGGTTTCCTGACCTTTTCCTGTGCTCTGAGTGCTGGATTAAGCACTTTACATAGAAAATCTTGTTGAATTTTAAAAATATTTTAAAATTCCACAGGCAAATTGAAGTAAAAGAGGACGTTCTCTCCCTCTTGCCTGAGAATAGAACTGAGGATAAGTCTCATGTCACAGAACATTATTTGATGTAAATATCATTCCTCTAAAATGCAACGACCTCTAAGAGCCCCTGCCTTTGAGTTCCTCTCACTCATTCCTGCCATAGACACGAACAGGGGCGCTGAAGGAGGTGCTGGGATGCAGAGGTGAGTGAGCCTAGTCTGTGCTCTGGAGGAGCTCCTGGCCTTGTGGGAGTCAGCCACTAAAGCAGCGGTTCTCAACCTGTGGGTCGCGACCCCTTTGGGGGTCGAATGACCCTTTCACAGGGGTCGCCTAAGACCATCGGAAAACACATATATAATTACATACTGTTTTTGTGATTAATCACTATGCTTTAATTGTGTTCAATTTGCAACAATGAAAATACATCCTGCATATCAGATATTTACATGATGATTCCTAACAGTAGCAAAATTACAGTTATGAAGTAGCAAGGAAAATAATTTTATGGTTGGGTCACAACATGAGGAACTGTATTAAAGGGCCAGAAGGTTGAGAACCACTGCACTAAAGGGATAATAACCATATAGAACAGATGCCACCAACCGAGCCAGAGTCTACGCCAAGCACTTTGCACTGCCTCACTCAATCCATGTTCTTCCTCGCCTCACAGAACACTGAGGCCCAGGTCAGGAAGCCAGAGTGGTAAGGTTAGCAGGTCTCTTATGTCTCCAGGCTAGTGCTCTTTCTCACTAGATTTCATGCTTTTGGAGGACAGGGGAAGAATGGAGTAAGGGGGGAGGGGGTCTTCATACAATTCCCAGTGCCTGATGGCACAGAACAGGGGTCCAACTTGCCAAACTGTCACTGAATTTTATGGCTACCCCAGAGCCTCCCAATGGCACTAATTTCATTTGTGCGTAAAGTGCTAGGATCAAGGTGTGGGCCAAGTCTGTGGAAGGGCAGAGGGCTAAACACTAAGTTGGCCAGAGGAAAGTCCTGTTTCCTGGTTACCAATCACTTCCCAGGAATCTTTTTTTTTAGAGAGAGAGGAAGGGAGAGAGGGGGCAGGAAGAGAGGGAGAGGGGGAGAGAGAGAGGGAGGGAGGGAGGGAGGGAGGGAGAGAGAGAGAGAGAGAGAGAGAGAGAAAGACATTGATTTGTTGTGCCACCTAGGTATGCATTCATTGGTTCATTCTTGTATGTTCCCTGACCAGGGATCAAACCCACAACCTTGCCGTATTGGGAACGACACTCTAATCAACTGAGCTATTGGGCCAGGGCCTTCCCAAGGAATATTAATCGTTAAGAACTTTTCCACTTTTCCTGCTTCCCACATCCATTTACACTGGAGCTTCCCACAGGCCCAAAGGATGTGCTTCTAGTCTCTGTACACCATCCATCAGTGCACCTGCCACCAGCTCTGATGACACCAGTCCCCTGCTTAGCAACTTCTAACAGCTCCCCATCGCCTACTGGATTGAATCCAATCTTCTTGCCTGATGCCCAAGGCTCTTCCTGATCAGAGCTTGTCCAAATTTTCTTATCACTTACTCTCATTGGTTTTAGAAGGGTAGTCCCCCTGTGTGCAATAAATCTATCTTATAGAGGAAAGGGTTTGGCTTCAGAAAACCTGGTTCTACTACTGGTGCTATTTCAGGAAGGCTTAGCAGGCTGGGAACCCCTTGAGGGCAAGGGTGGTATCTTATTTTTTCTGTATTCTACCACCAAGCTCAGGCCTGGCATTTGGAAGGCTCCAGTGAGTGGTGAGTGCTCATTCTGTTTACAGATAAAGTCTGGGAGCCAGGCACAGTGCTAGGCGCTACGCTATAGCAGAGGTAAAGGGGACATGGGTCCATCTTCACAGAGCTTGCAGCCTAGCATGGTGTTACATCAATTTGACCCACTTTTATTGCATGTGATGTGCCAGGTATGTATATGAGGGAATGAGGTCTGGTCCCCTCTTTATGTCAATTCATTTTTATTTTTTAATTTTTATTGATTTCAGAGAGAAAGGGAGGGAGAGGGAGAGAGAGAAAGAGAGAAACATCAATGATGAGAGAGAATCATTGATTGGCTGCCTCCTGTACAATCACACTGGGGATTGAGCCTGCAACCTGGGCATGTGCCCTGACTGGAAATGGAACTGTGACCTCCTGGTTCATAGGTCGATGCTCAACCACTGAGCCATGCCAGGCAGGCTATGCCAATTTCTTACTCTCTGCAATAGAGCCATGAACAGACTAATGAATTTCAGAGGGAAAGTGGGGGTAGGGAGGGAGAGAGATTAACTGGGGAACCTATATGCATACTAGAGGCCCAGTGCATGAAATTCGTGCACGGTGTGGGGGAGGAGGTCCCTCAGCCCGGCCTGCACCCTCTCGAAATCCAGGACCCCTTGGGGGATGGCCGACTGCCGGTTTAAACCGGCAGTCAGACATCCCTCTTGCAATCCGGGACTGCTGGCTCCTAGCCACTCGCCTGCCTGCCTGCCTGATCACCCCTAGCCACTCTGCCTGCCTGCCTCATCACCCTAACCACTCACCTGCCTGCCTGCCTGTTGCCCCTAACCACTCACCTGCCTGCCTGATTGCCCCTAACCACTCTTTCTACCTTCCTGATAGCCCCTAACCACTCACCTGCCTGCCTGATTGCCCCTAACTGCTTGCCTACCTACCTGATCACCCCCTAACCACTTGCCTGCCTGCCTGATCACCCCTAACCACTCTGCCTGCCTGCC